AGCAGAAAAATGAGAATTTTCTGATAAGGTTGTTCTCTAGTTGGATTAGAAAGAAATCTGCCAGCATGGAACCCAATAGGGAACCTGTTGAAATTTCAAATAGTCATCTTTAATCAACATAGTTTATTCGCTTATTAGTTGCATGTCTCCCGATGTATTTCCAATAGTGTATATATATATTCGTGTATGTCGAGTAGTATTCAGCTGAGGAGGGGTTCTACCGAAATTTGATGAATTCATTAAATCCTGCTTTAGAAACCGCTCTGTTACTTATTTTAAATTCATATCGGGAAATGAATGTTTCCAATGTTGGCTATTATTTTTTAATTTGCTTCCATACTCATCTCGTTCACACTTGTCATAGTTAAAAATTATTTTACATATTACATGCGATGATTTTCTGATCTTTTGTAATGTTGTTTCTAAGTCCCTTTGTAATCAATAGTCATACCTTCGAAATTTCATATCAAGGAGGAAATGACTGTTACGTTTTGTCTCCTTCATTACTGTGTGGAATTAAACAATATTGGGGAGTCGGTGGCATAGCGGTAGGATGCTCACCAACCACGCCTCATATGGTGCGGGGTTCGATCCCTGGCTGAGGTTCTCCTTAACCCCGCCAAGCCAGTAAAAAGACTGGTAAAGAAGGAAGGTTGGGCACATGAGTTCACCAGCAGCAACTCTATCCCATAAAAATAAACAAACACCACTTATAGTGAAACTTCAAGCCTCTAGCTTGAAACCCTATGTTCCACTGGAAACGTAAAGGAATAAATAATAATAATTATAATAGTGTCTATTTGATTTTATATATGTAAATGCAATTGCACTGCTTTTGAGGGTGAAATCACAAAAAGCATATCTGTTTGTTGAACTTATCTGATGTATATTGTCTATAGTTTGGTTTGTAAGGTTTAGTTTTGTTTTTACGGGTTGATCACGCATTGATATCAGTTAGAGAACTATTGAAAACCCATCGGAAAGTACTGGAATGGTGTTTCATCCTAGTTTGGGAATCATCGGCAGTACGCACCCATCGAAAGGGTTTGGGCTTTAGGCATAAATCCGACCTAAACAAACTGTTTGGCTCTCATGAGGTATGCAACATAGACGGCACTGAAATAGAAACCAAATCGGAAATTAAATACCTAGGCGTCATTCTATCTGCTGATCTCTCGTGGTCGTCTCATATCTTGACGATTTCTAAGAAAATATTCCGTCTTACCTTCTACATTAAGAAGTTAAAACATTCTGGTATTACCCAACCCTTACTCCTACAATTTGTTAATTCCCGCATCCTGCCTATTATTCTCTACTGTTCCCCCTTAGCTTTTCCCGGGCTACTGAAGAAAGACTATAACATTTTACGCAGGATGTTAAATGTTGTTAGCAGGGTAAGCAACGTGCCACTTAACCAGCTTGTTAATATTTTGGTTGACAGGCACATGGACTCATGTGAAAAATGGGCCAAGTCCATTTTATCTAACTCACACCACCCTCTTCACTCACAACTCTCCCCTTGCGTCTCATCAGGTAAAACAAGAAGCCAATATAGAAAACTATATGCTCGCACCAGCAAATACAAAAACTCAACCATACCCTACTTAGCTCGTGTTCTGTGTGATAAAGAAAGCATTAGGCGTGACACCTATAATTCATTAAATAGTCATTAGTACAACTGGACCTCATATTTCCAACCCACTTCACCAATAGGTACAACATTTTCTTTCTTTCTGTTCCTTTTCTCTCTCTTCTTTTTCCGTTATGTGCTGCTTTGTCTCTTTCTCTCGCTTACGCCAGTTAATAAGACAGCTGCCACTTTTCTAACACCTTCAAACACTGTTTCAGCTTTACCTTTGCTACTGACATGCCTATGTATTGTTGTAATAATGAACTGCGGTTTCCTTAATCTATGTAGAATTCTATTTATTGATAATGTACAAACTGGATGCAATATTGTAGTAAAAATGCTGAGAATTCCATTCTGTATCACAAGTACTGTTTTGGAATAAAGCAAATTATTATTATTATTATTATTATTATTTGAACCCAGGACCTTTCGGTTACAAGGCAAGCTCGTATACCATTTAGCCACTAGGACCCGATTCAATAGCTGATGAATTCTAACTCCTACCAATTCGTGATTTAGCGCGACCCCAACCATTTTCGTTGGTGGGACATCCATCCACACACGTGACATCTAATTTGACCTCACTGGTCACGATTTCTCGCATGAACTACAGAAAACTCCATCCATTGGGTGGAGTCGCGCTAATTCACGAATTGGTAGAAGTTAGAATTCATGATGCATTGAATCGGATCCCAGTGGCTGAATGGTATATGATATATATTCCTTGAAAAAATTCTAATCAACAAAGACCTGAATCTTATATACCAGTTTGTACTTTGAAACTGTATAATTTCTGCTGCCTAGACTATGTAAACTAAATTGATATAAGGATAAAACTTGGGTACTGTGGTAGAGTACAACTCCATTATAGATAAGATTTTATTTTGATGAAATCACACAGTGTTGTTATACAGTAATATTAACTGATGACCATGTTTCGAGCATAATTTATTACTGCTCATAATCATATCAAGTCACTCACAGAACTTTCTTGCTGCATTTATACACATGAGTGGAATTAATGATTAGATATTTGAATACAAATCAATGAGATAAGATAATGTACATCCAAAAATAATAATATGAGTGTTATCAATCAAATACAGTCAGATGGGAAATAAGACGAGCGTTTTTATAGTCAAAATAAGTAACTTGTTAGAATGTTATGATGTACGTGAATTGAAATAGAATTTTGAGATTATTTATTGTCCTCCTCTGATTTGACTGACTGGTGGTTATAATATCTTCCATATTTCTGGTATTTGCATTGAGTCATTTCTGTCGCATTTGCTGGGTGTAGACTCGATGAACAAGAATTCGGTAATCAATCTCTCTCTCCATCTAACTATATTACTTTTCAAAATTTTAACCCTTTCCCACCCTATTGTGTGGTTGTGTGTTAGTGCATACAGTGCAATGCAGTGCTGAGTGTTTTTCTAAATTACTTATCTTCTCGCAGTCAACCATTCTCACCTTAGCTAAATTCTTATGTTCCGACAATCTGACTACCCCTGATTTACTAGTTTGACCTTAACTCACAGTCATTGCAAGGTATCTTGTGAATTATATGACTTTACCTAATTGGATCAACAGGGTCCTTCAGCCTACAGAGCTTGTCCCTGTCTGAGTGAGTTTGTAGGTTTAAATTCATGTACATCATAACATTCTAACAAGCTACTCATTTTGACTATAAAAACACTCGTCTCATATTGTTATTTCTGAATATACATTATGTTATATTGAATTTTATTCAAAAGTCTAATCATCAATCTTTACTAATGTATACAACTGAAGCAAGAAAGTTGTGTGAGTGAGTGACTTGATATGATTACGAACAGTAATAAATTGTGATCGAAATGTGGTTGCATCAGTTAATATTAGTGTATAACACTGAGTGATTTTATCAAAATAAAATCTTATCTATAATGGAGTTAAACTAAATTGGATGTTAGAGATATTAATCAGTATTGTGTAGTTCTCACTACCAAAGGGTATAAAGCAATCTAGGATTTTAGCTTTTATTTTATGTATATACTACATATACTACTAATATTAATGTGAACAAAGCGTTCTCTGTGGACTCTATTTGAAATGGATGCTGAACCTTAAAAAATAATTTAAAAATAAACCAGAAAAACTTAATTTCCGAATTCCCATTTATGCATTTAGAAAAGAAACAACTGATTGAGTGAAGAAATATGCACTCCTTTTCAATTCACTTACTCCCTCATCATCAGCTGGCTGGCTATACACTAATACATGGTCGCTTTTTACAACAAAATCTTTTTACCAATCAAGTGGTTATTTTAGTTAATCAGTTTTAGGCATAGGCGCATGGGGTTGGATGAGTGAGTGAAATTAAGACGTGGAAAGTCATCAAAACAATCAACTAATAAATGTTAGTAAAAAAGAAATATCTTATTCAATAAAGTGCCTATGTTGGAAAAATCTCATTACAAAGGTAATAAATTGATAAATCAAAGTAAAGAGATTGTGATTCCTGTGTCTTCTCTAAGGGCGCTTCTTCTAATGTGTACAATGAACGTAAACTTTCTGCTCAATAAAGAATGTATAAACAGTCAGATGCTGTTGTCATGGAATCACCACGACGACCTTCAATCTATGAACACCTCCTAGAGCCAGGTCATTCAGCCCCACAGGATTTATCCTTCAAAGTGATCTACATGACCAAATCCAATCACTCGAATAGCTTACGTTTACCCCACTAATGCATAGCCTGGTGAGGCTCTAGCTATACATGGGCAAAGACTTAAACTATGTGTTCAAAGACATTTTGTCAAACCCCTTTCTTTACCGTGGTCGTAGTAATGTTCTTTTATTTTATTTTTCATTTTACCACTTGAATTCATTCCACGTCTTCACTTGATCTTCGCCGTCTGTATTGTTAGTATCATCACCGTCATACTCTTCATTTTTTAGACAAAACTTGACCCAATCTTAGTACCAATTCACTTATTCACTAATCTTTAAAAGTTTTGTAATTTATCCACTTCAACTCTACCCTTCCCCCTTAATACGTGATTTTAATTATCTTTATTCTTATGATATGTATATGAAAATATGACTGTACAGCTTTAAAATGAAGTCGGTGGTACAGCGGCCATGCACATAGTCCAGAGTTCGATCCCCTGCTGACGCACACGTGATATCAATTGATCGGCCTGCAAAATTTGGGCTACCGATATCACATGCTCAAAAATTCCATCCATACTTGTACCAATAATACGGTGTCGAATGAAGCTATAATCAAAATAATTAAAATAAATTGAAAAAGAAACTGTATTTCTTCGATGAACCAAAAAAAATAGCAACTGTGTTTTCCTTTATTAGATATGTAAAGAAAAAAGACTTAAAACTTACTTTGACTACCACCAGGTTCTTTAATCTCATCCACTTTTGATTCATTTTTTGAGATAAACGCATAACCGAACGTAAAAGATAAAAATATTACAAATGTCACTGTCATTAAAAAGGGTACAATAAAAATCCAAAATTCATAAGATATGAAAAAGTTTCTGCATTTCTCTTTTCCAATCAATAATCGATGCTTTCTTCTTTTGTGTTGATTATTACTACTGTCAGCGATAGTATTACTGGTGTTCATAGTATAAATGATTGAATCATCCTGACAACATTTCAGAGGATTGTCATCTTCAGGATTATTATTATCATTGTTACCGTGATAATGAGTACTGGAAGGGCTTGCGAATTCATCATCCACTTCACATGTCGCTAAACTCAAAGTTACATTCATATCATTAAAAGTTTTCAACAGGTCTAATCGAACTTCACTGTTCTCAGTCGATTGCATCTGCCTGTTATTATTCTGATGATGACTGCTTTTATTGGTGTATACAACAGTTTCGTAGACTTGTCTTGACTGCATCTTGGTTGATTTAGTCTCTGCGTCCAACGTGATATCTATCTCCTTCCAAACTATTCCTTTTGTTCAATTCAGTTCAATCAATTGTTAATCACACTAGATTTATAATACATGTGTGAAAAAAAAGACCAACGAACATTTCAACCGTATTGATTTTTTAATCCATGAGTACTGTGATAACAACACACTCAGAATCATTCACACATATACACACACACACACTAACTCACATTCTGTACAAATACACCACCACGTATTAGAGGATTTCTACTTGACATTGTTAAACATAAACTGAATGAAAATCACGTCTAATTGACAACTAGCAGAGGTTAGTGCAATTATTATTATTATTACTATTGATTATAATAGAATTGGTAATTCACCTCTGTTGCTACACCGCTTTACTCACATGAGATCAGAATTAAACAGAAATTAAGGTTACTTTGGCTTCTGTTTTTGTTATTGGATGCTCAGATTGACAAATCGGTTCAGTTCAGACAAATCACTGAAAAAAAATTTTTTTAGATAAGATCTGAAAATAAGATCCTGATGATTAGGCGTTTCTGGTCAAACAAACAAAGTCTTATCCATGTCCTGCAGTCAACTGTTGAAATCTTTAAATATTCCCATTTCTAATATTAGAACAAGACATATAAGCGAACAATATTGTTGTTTTCACTTAGATCTTCTTCAGGCTTTACTCTAATTTACATAGATTTATATATAAAAATTTCAACCAATGACGGTGATTTTGTGGAACAAATAATAATAATGTGGTAAATGTTTTGAACTTAGTCAATCATCGTTAGATGATTATAATGATAACAAAATATTGATAATAAGATTTATGCAGGTGGCGATAAGAATAACGAAGGTAGTAATATATGTATATGTAGACAATTCAATGAATAAATTTGGTCAAACCTTAGAAGTTACGTGATAATAAAGGTGAAGTGGACAGATAATCAGAGTTTAAATATATGTCATAAAAGTAGGAAGGAGATGGAAAATAAGAAAGAGTGGAAGGGTTTTGAATGGGATTCACCTTGGCCGACCGAGAGACAAAGGTAGAACAAACTTCTTCTGTATGCAAAGACTAGGATTGTTCTCTCGAATTCCCATATCTTCGGCTATGTGTAAAAGACGGATTGGAATTCCGTTCGAAAGGCTCGATGGAATGCGATAGATAACTTTGAAGGCATTATTTTGTCCACCTGGTGACCGCTATCAATCAAATGAGCCAAAATAGAACTTCTTATAGATTTTACTTGACCTTTTCCAAACCATGAAGGAAGATGCTCATTAATGCGTTTGTTGAGCTGTCTAGTTGTTCGCCCTATATAGCTCTCTCCACAGGTTCAACTAAATTTATAGATACACATAGATGTGGCACAGCTAGATGGTATGTTGACTATAATCACCAGCTACAATTTTTATATCACTCAATACAGTGATTTATAAATTAAGATACAAGTTACTGAAATGGTAATAAGTAGTGGGTTAAGCGAGCGTATTTCACTACTTAACGGTAAATTCATTAAATTATCAAAAGTATTAGAGATATTTAACTCCCCATATGAATTTTTTGAAAAGCAACAAAAGGGTTAATAAAGCAGGATTTAATGAATATATGAGTTGATTCACTGTTGTCAGCAAACAAACAAGCAAACAAACGGACTTAGTAACGACATTACACACAAGATTAGAAAATCGTTGCATGTAATGTGTTAAATAATTTTTAACGATGACAAGTGTGAACGAGATGAGCATGGAAGCAAACTGAAATAATAGCCAACACTAGAAACATCTATTTCCCGATATCAATTTAAAATAAGCAACAAAAGGGTTAATAAAGCAGGATTTAATGAATTCATCAAATTTCGGTAGAACTCTTCCTCAGATGAATGCTACTCGACATACATGGATATATGCACACACACACTATTGGAAATACATTGGGAAATATAAGACTGATAAGCAAATAAACTACGTTGATTAAAGTTTTTTTCCTTCACGTCCCCAGTGGAACATAGGGCTGCAAGCTAGAGGCTTGAAGTTTCTGTAGCAGTCTTTATTTTTACGGGATGGCGTTGCTGCTGGCCTCATGCCCAACCTTCCCTCTTTACCAGTCTTATTGCTGGCTTAGCGTGGTAAAGGAGTGCGTCAGCCGGGAATCGAACCCCGGAGCATGTGCATATTCGGCGAGCGGCCTAACCGCTGTGCCACTGATACACAATATTAGTTCGGCGAAATTGTGCAGGCTATACAGGGGTGTCCACGCACCTCAGAGTGAGCCACCCCCATTCAGGGTGATACTGGGATCTGCCGAACAGGCTGAATGGATACTATCAAGGTACTGAGAATAACGGTCAGTGTCACCCAAGTATCCTACCAGAATCCAAGGAAAAATTCGATAAAGGGCCGGTTCCATCGGAATCGTCTAACCAGTTCCAATATTAAGTCCCCTACCAGCAAACAGTGTAACAACAAATATCCCACAACGCTCTGAGGTTATGAAACTCACTATCAGCTGCCTGTATAGCAATGTAAGAGGACTGAGAACAAAATTAGGTGAACTCAGAAACCTCTGGTCACACCTACATCCTAAAATAATAATCCTGACTGAAACCTGGCTAACCCCCACTATTGCCGACAACGAAATCAGCATAAGGGATGTGATTCTGTTGAGGAGGGAGAGGGACAGCAGGGAAAGGAGGGGGAGTTGCCATTTACTTTGACAAGCAATTTAAATGCTTGCGTGCAACGGACCCTCCACTCACTGAACTCCCAGACTCTATATGGTGCCATTGCACCGTAGGCCACACCAAGCACTTACTGAGTGGTATCTACCGATCTCCCACCTGTGGGGCAGAGCACAACTGGCTACTGCTCAGCACCATCACAGGGAAACGGGACTTTGGCTATAACCAAATCACCATAGCTGGAGATTTCAACGCCCCATCCATGAACCTTGGCTCGGGGTATGCTCAGGGAAAATTCAGTCGAAATCTACTACCAGCCATTAGAAATAGAGAACTAACTGTGAACGTTGGAGGTGACACTAGGCGGGGCCCTAGTGGAAAGTCATCGAAACTACATTATATTCTATCTATTGATCAACTACTTGTGTCAAAGTAGTTGAAGAATGAACGATCAATTCATGATTGTTTGCTCAAACCCAACTCCATATTTTGGCAGGAGTCATCGATACTGCAGCCATCGTTCTATCGTTCGCTGTTTGTTAGAAGACAGAGAGGAACTATCAGAAGTATTATTGTGATTAATTGTTATAACATTTATCCTTAGACTTTGTGTACAATAACCTTGTGGTTGGTTCTGTATTGGCGCAAGCATATAGGATTCTTGAATCACCGATTTGTGTTCTGGTTTTTTGCGTTGGTTATTGACAATAGTTTTGAAAGTCTTGTAAGAAAGGCGTTAAGTCCAGGGTAGTTAGACCTGGACATTGACAACTTGTCGAAAGTGCTCAGATCATGACCCCACTAGGAAGTAATGACCACGCAGTCTTAGGATTTTATCTCGTCCTCCGTGAGCGCTCACAGTGGGATGCTACGCAACCAGGTCCACACTACAACAAGGCTGACTGTGCTGGAATGCGGAGGGTTTTGTTCGACGCAGAATGACTCATAGAATGGGCTGAGTGATCCGTGAATGAACACTGGGAAGTGGAAGAAGGGATTATTCACACAGCAATCTCAGATACTGTCCCTCTAGTCACAACAAAGCCGAAGAAAAGGTCCTCATGTTTGAAGAGAGGTACGCAAAGTATTCTGCAAGCAAAGCTGAAGGCTTGGTCTACGTGACCACAACGCATACCTGGAACTCAGGAACCGGTGCAACGTAAGAGTCAGGAATGACAGGAGGTCATTTCAGGCTAAACTTACCGAAACCTGGCAAACGCCAAAAGCCTGTACCGATTCATATCGGAGAGAAAACCAACCAACCCGTGGGCATGTGCCTTAGTAGGTCCAAACAGTCAATACCTCATCAGGTTGGAAAGGGCTGAAGAATTCAGTTCAGCTTTAACTAAACATTCAAAGTGGGTATTACTGGTACGAAACAAACTGGTGGCACTACTATTTCACTGGAGGAGAACATAGTGGCTACTCTCCAGATAAACCTGGCAGTAGTACTGGGGAAGCTACAGAGACTCACACCTGGAAAGTCCCCAGGTTGAAACGACATCAAGTCATCTGTTCTGAAACACTGCACCGGGGCTCTCAATAGGCAGTTAAGTGACTAGTTCCAACACTCGATGGATTCAGGGAAACTGCCAAGAAAGTGGAAAAGAGGCATCCTTTCTCCGATCTTCAAGGTTGGGGATAGGCAAAATGCCACCAGTTATAGACCCTACTCCCAGTGGTACCAAAAGTACTGGAAAGTATAATTGATGATCACATCAGGGAGCACATCGACAGGACTAATACACTCCATGAAGCACAACATGGTTTCAGGTTAGGTGGATCCTGTGTAACGAACTCACTATCAGCTTGGGACGATTGGACATCATGCCGGGATATGAGTGTTCCAGTCCACGTGGTCTTCCTAAACTTTGAGAAAACATTTGACACAGTTCATCATGACCTTCTCCTACACAATATAAGTCAGGCAGGTATGGGTAAGCCACTTCTGTCATGCTTAAAGGACTGCCTAGCTGAAAGGAAATTTTGCACTAAGGTCAGTCGAGTCCGATCATCTTGGCACGGCTCGTCATCAGGAGTGTCGCAGGATTCTATCCTAGGACCACTGATGCTTTTGCTTTTTATCAATGATCTACCATGCCGTCTAAGCTGCCCAACTCTTCTATACTTTGACGACGTAAAGATATGGAGTGCAATAAACCGTCCGGAGGACTTAGATAGGATGCAGGCAGATCTAAAGCTTCGGGAAGACTGGGCGGTGGCCAATAGTATGACTTTCAACCTGAAAAAGTCCAAAGTTGTGCAAATACGCACCTGTAGGCTGCAGAATGCAAGTTACACCCTGTGCAACGAAAGCTTTTCCTGCACAACGTCGGAGCGTGACTAAGGTCTGGTTCTTACGGGAAAAATAGACACAAGTGTCAATTACACGGGGGTGTAGTGAGGGCATACGCGGTCATACACTTTACACACAGACGGTTGGGTGCGCTCTCTTCCGAGCTCTTTCTGAGGCTGTACAAAACAAACGTCAGACCACACCTTGAAGTGCATCATATTATTGCACCCTCACTGCTTAGAAGGGATGCCAACCTCTTGGAAAGAGTCCAAAGACGGGCGAAAAAATGAATGGTTGGTCTCCGAAATAAACCGTACGATAAAAGGCTAAAGAAATTAGACCTATTCACACTTAGCAACCGTCGGATTAGGGGGAATTTGATTACTGCCTACAAGATAAAAATGGCCAGAATCACCCAAACAAAGGTGTTTTGCCAGTGAGTAGGTATAGGCTTCCTCGTGGAAATCGCAGAGGGATGGCTCACTAGAGGGCAGGGAACCAAGTGAGCTCCCACTTCTTTCTACTGTTGATTTTCCATCCCTGGAACCCCTTACCGGCAGATATAGCTATGGCACCTTCTGTGGACACCTTTAAGCGCCGGCTGGACAGTCATGAAGCGACACAAAGACTGCGTGCAAATGGCCTATCCCCTTAAAATCCCATACACCATTCGGCGGTAGACAACTAAGTTCGTCGTTTTACTTCTGTACATGCTTCCCCGTCTTACTCTCCTGAGAAGTCTAACAATTACACTTATTATTATTACTGATGTCATATATATACGTATATATATACATATATCAACTTCAAATTTAATCAGCTCCCTGTTTTACGTCTTCTTTATTTCTTTTTCTATCTTATAATCTGAATAACTTCACTAATTATGTCTGTTGTTATTACTATCTCTTTTCTTTTGACGACATTACCAGATAACTAACTGGTGAAAGGAACACCTGCATGCAGTGTATTAACAGTCTTAACACACCGCATACCACAAACCACAAATGATTAATCCCAGCAATACTCCTTTTGGAGTCAACCAAAGCTACGGCAGTCAAGTGGCGGGACAAGCTACCGAAGATCAGGAACCCATACTTCACAATCAAGAGGCCAGCACAAAGAAATCAAACTGGTTTATACTAGCCCGTTAAAACGATAGTGGATATTGGGACAATGCATTTCGCCTGATAAGACTTGAAAGTTGTATTGTGCAGTATTTCCTAATACCATTGCACATGCTCGATGAAAAACGTGTCAGGTGCAATGTACGGCCACTGTGCAGACGAAGAAAAAGCTCGTGAATGGATAGAACTTGAAGTACAGTTGTTTAAGCGAATAAACGTTCTCCCTAGACGCGGTAGTCAAGGTCCTCAAGGTCGTGTATGATATGAGTATATATGATGGGTCAAATACCATAGAAAGAATCAAAGGTAAGATTGTAGACACCTTCCATATGAATATTAGAATGACTGAAGCCAGCAACAAGTATTTTCCTCATGACCCCGAACAATCAATAAAGTAAAGGCACATTAGGACTTGTAAATTTATAAATAAACTGTCTTACATATATAATCAGCCATAAAGTAGTAAAGATTATTTGATATTTAAAAAAGTAGTAGATTGCATGGGGAGAAAACTATAAACGTCATACATGAATGGTTTTCATTGTGAATGAAATATACCCAAGCTTGGGTGTGCTAAATTAAGACTTTTCGTTCTGAAGTAAGGCTAGTCCGTGCTTAATATGTCCTGTGAGGGCTGGGAAAACGCTGATAAGCAAACCCAGTAGGTTCTAATCTTCTCCTGAAAATGCTTAGAAAAAGAACACGCTGCTGAATTAGTGCCAGTCATGCTGAAAACCGGCACTGAGTTCTAGTCTGCGTCATCAAAGAATCCATTTCAGAACAGACTCAGAATTTAACCACTATAGAATGTCAGAATTATTTCAGAATTAGTGGGATTGAATTCAGTATCATAGTAAGCTTGGGTATCAGTCATGTGACTGCACCAATGTGACCAAAATCGGTTTTGAGTAGTCTTTGGTCGACCTGTCTGTAGTAGATGATACGGCTTAACTCTGTCACGGTAGCCTACAATAATGGGGAAATAATGCCAATAAAATATTGACTGGCGCTCGTTTCTTAAGGAACGGCAAATTTGCCGAGTAAATGTTGGAAAAATGCTCATTAGGAACCAAAGAGCAATCCACATTTTTTATTATTTATTTATTTATTATAGCTTGATTCCACACCGTACTTTTGGTACAAGTATGGAATTTTCAGCATGTGATATCGGTAGCCCAATTTTGCAGGCCGACCATAGATATCGGGTGTGCGCCGGCAGGGGATCGAACCCCGGACCATGTTCATGGTCGGCGAGAGTCCTAACCACTGTGCCACCTCAGTGCTCCGAACGCTTTCTTTATTGAAGAGAAAATAGTGGATGAAAATGTGCCTTATATTACTCTACATAGAATGGCATACGTAAGCCGGTCATAGCGATTTTCCTCTATACTCATCTAAGTTTCCATAGAGACTTTCTGGTAATAAGCTAACTAGTGAACTTTATTTCATCAAGATCTAAAACTGAGTTATGAAGTATCTACCTACGTGATTTAGATACTAATCCTTCAAAACTTCTTTGGATGCGGTGTTTTTTAAATCTGGAGTCAGTAATCATTTCAAAGTTAGAACTATGGATTAATTTAAGCCCTATTCAAATTCAGATTAAAAGGGTAGAAGGCTCTGGTTGCCTATGTTAATCCTCATGATATATATCTCTGCAGAAATCTAGTTTCTCGTTGAAAGCTCTCACCGTTGGAGCTGTGACTACTGAATCAGGTAAAGAGTTCCAGTCCAATATCCACTATCGTTTTTACGAGCTAGTATAAACCATTTTGATTTCTTTGTGCTCACTTCTTGACTGTGAGTTAGAGGTTCCTGATTGTTGACCAGTCGTTGACCACTCTGTGGGAGAATCTAAATTCCGTACGTATTTTGTTCGACCTTGGTTTGAGAACCTTCTTGTGGTGACTTTGTAAATGTATCCTAGAGGGAGAGAAAAGGTTTGAAAGGTAAATCCCTAAATAACCCTATAATATATGGTATGCTAAAATTAAGTCACTTCTCTTCCTTTGGTATGATAATGGGAAGAGATTTATGTGCTCCATCCTCTTGTCATAAGGAAGGTGTGAGATACCACTAACTAATTTGGTTCCTAGTCTTTGTACTCTTTCCAGAATATGTGCCTCCTTTTTGAAGCATGGACTCACCGCTTGTATGTAGTATTCTATATGAGGTTTGACATATGTTGCATAGAATATTTGGAACATACTCTTGCCTAATCGCTTGAAAGCTCTTCGAAGTGCCCATAGCATTCGGAAAGCCTTAGCTGTGGCTCCGTTACATTTGCCTTTACTTTGAAGTCATAGCTTACAATAATCCCTAAGTTCTTTTGTCCCTTAATATCTGGCAGCTCTGTGTTTAGTAGGGAGTACGACGTGTCAGATCTCTGACCTAGGTGCATTACCCCACTTTTCTTGGGATTAATTTCCAGACTCCAGAGGTTACCCAATTCAGTTAATTTATTTAGATCGTTTTGTAGTACCAACGTATCATCATTGTTATTTACAGTTTTCCGTATCTTAATATCGTCCGTAAATAATAAGGAAGATGGGGTAAGAATTTTCGGCAGTTCATTTACGTATAATAGGAATAGCAGGGGACCAAGCACAGTTTCCCGAGGTACTCCACTTAGTACTGCTTTCCACCCTGATAGTCCACCAATAACCCTTACCTTCTGCCTTCTATCCATCAGGTAGTCGCTAAACCACTCACATAAGAGTTGGTCTAATCCAAAACGTTTAAGTTTACTAAGGAGACCTAAATGGGATGCCTTATCGAATGCTTTACTAAGATCGATAAATACAACGTCCAGTAGATGGTTTTTATCCCTGGCCTCGATCCAATCTCCTCTACCTAACAGTAATTTTTTGAGACAGGGTCGTATTGGTTGGAATCCATGCTGTTCCACCGCCAGTAAGGCATGTTTCCCCATATGAGCTAAGGGCTGATCCGTTATGACTGTTTCTAATATCTTCGCTACAACGTAGGTCAAAATTACAGGTCGGTAGTAAGATACTAACTGCCTATTCCCCTTTTTGAAGATGGGGTTTATAATTGCATCCTTCCAGCCCCTAGGTAGCCTAGTCTGGGTCAGGGACATTTGGAAAGTCTCCATAAGTGAAATGTATATTATATCCCCCAAGGAGATTGGCAGTCTAGGGTGAAGTCGGTCAGGTTCAAGTGATTCACCTGGCTTCAGCTTAGACAGTAGTTTGAGAACCACTTCATCCTATACCACAATTATGAGCATTTTAGTGGCTACAGAAGTGATCTCGCTACATCCATTGAAATTACTCTTGCAGTTTCATGCAGTCATCCGTTTATTTTACAAGTTTTCCAGTCGTATATATATATATATATATGGATGAAAGATGTGTTTATTAGTATGTTTTCTAAATGTCATGAAAGTATTATCGCTTACTGATGGCTCACAAGTATGTTTTTAGGGGGATATTGACGCTTATTTCTTTGCGTTTTGAGCAAAACATAGGGCTTCGAGCGTGAGTTTCAGAGTCTCAATAGTTGGTTGTATTTTGTTCAGGCGGGGCGGAGTTGCTAGTCTGATGCCCAGCCTTCCCTACTTCCTGGGTTTACTGTAGGCTTAGCAAGGCTTGGAAATGCGTCAGTCCCAAATGGAATCCTGGACCATATTTTTCGTTGGGGAGCATTAATCGGTTAATCCCTGATGTACAGGTAATAGCGTAGAAACAGGTTATAGGCGTGATATGTTATCAAAGAAGCTGGTATCAGCTACAAATATGGCGATAAAAAACACATCGACTAATCTCTGAGACGGTAATTAAAATGCGAGGCAGGATACATTAAACATATAACCAGAAGGCAAGATGGGCGAGTGTAATAACATGGTTGTAATGGAGAAATCGGGTTTAATATAGGTAGTGAAAGCTGTGTAAATTCTGCCAAACAGATGAAATCTGCTCAGGGTGCTGTACACCTAACTCTTATCCGCCTGGATCACCACTCTTTAATTTCGCCAGCAGGTAAGTGTTGGCAAACTCAGCATTCAGACCATTGTTAACATAACTAGAACTTTAACCAGAAAGTCTACACATCCACGCTTGGTTCCAAACACTGATAACTGGGGGCTATATCTATGATGACAAGAAATTAATGGGGAGATATAATTGATAGACCAAACCTCAAGACAAGATGAGATGTTATACTGACAAAGCTTTTATTTCCATTTGTTTTCATTTATTTTTTAACTGTGTGTACTAGAATATATCCGAATTAGAAATAGACATGAACATACCTTAGAGTTAAATCGTTGAATTTATCCATTTCAAAGGAGTGAAGTGATTAGCGTTTCTAGATCTCATTCAGGCCAGTATTCAATAAAGGTCTAATATACTCTGCAGCAGTTCTCTTTGTTTTCCTATAAAACTCCCAAAAGTAGGTAATTTGCAGAAGGCCAATGAATTTGTTTCATCAGACTGACTACGTGAGTTATGTAGAAAATTGTCAGACAGCACAATTATTTAATGCAAAAACTGTTCATTTGGAAAAATCAACACATGAACTACTGGGTTATTAAACATTGCTGCGTTATATAATTTCGTTGGTTTTCAACTAGACTCCTAGAGGCTATGTGATTATTTTGTCGCTCTAAAGGTCAAGAAACTCTTTTGACCATTCTCCTTTTTTGCTTAACTTCGAAGACAGCCATTCTGAACTTGCATTTGGTCAGTATTTTCGAAAAAACATCCTCAACAACTTTAATCGTATAATATAATAACAAGGACTGCTGTCACATCTTTAAAATTTTTGTTTTATTCCTTCACGTTCCCAGTGGAACATAGGGCTTCAAGCTAGAGGCTTGAAGTTTCTGTAGCAGAGTTTATTTTTACGGGATGGCGTTGCTGCTGGCCTCATGCCCAACCTTCCCTCTTTACCAGTCTTATTACTGCCTTAGCGAGATAAAGGAGTTCGCCGGCCGCGGATCGAACCCCGGACCATGTTCATAGTCAACGAGCGTCCTAACCGCTGTGCCACAGACGTATGTCTTTAAAATAGTAACTTCCTAATGCTATAAGCAACTATTATTTGACGCTGTTACGTCTACCGATAGCTTACTCCAACAAAACTATCTGAATCAGAGTTAGACAGTCCAGGATGTGTTAGTTATTGATTACTGAACAGATTTATTTAGGACAACTTGTATCTTCTTCCCGGGAAGTTAAACAGACAGCTAGGACCGACAATTAAGGACTAAGTGATGTGCTTCAAAGTTCATCGAAAGTTTTGTGTAGGTACGCTTATCTTATTTCAGGTTCATCCTGTATGTATTATCCCACTTCTTCAGTCTTGTTACCATTCTTCTTTTGACACACGGCCCCTATACATGTCTTATTTATTCTTATTTGGAAATTTCTATCAATCCTTTTACTTTATTGGTTCTCATCAGCTGCCTATTACCTATAATCTTTACTAAAATAAGTCAGTGTACACTTTTAACATACTTCTGTCTATTAGCAGGAGCATCATAGTGAAATGAAACATCAGGACGATGAGGCATCTGAAATATTACAGTGTATATATGCATAATCTTGTTGGAGAGGATTTTCCCGAAAAATTAGTTGACGAATTTGTTGTTAGAGTGGTAACAAAAAATTAACAACAGATATGTAATTAGATAAGAGAAAATCCAAATTTGATGTGCAAAAAGTTAAGCGAAAAAATGATGATGTAATACGGTGAGTAGAACTCAGAAGGTCAAAGAAAAATCGTCTCTTATAAAAGTCAAAAGGAGAAAAGGGGTCAGGGTGAAGAGAAAAGGTAATAGAACGCAAAAACAAAAAGTTACTAAGGGATAAGTAACCGGAGTAACTGAAGTCCAACGACAGATAGGTCATATAGATCAAGTTTCAGCCGTTTTATTGTTATGGCCGCAACAAACCTAAGAAAACTTGAGCCATTTCTTCTGTTAATTATTTTGAATGATCCCAACGAGTCTACTTAGTGTCCTGTGTCTATCAGGTGTATTATGATTGAAGAGCTTAAACTGTTTGGCGCCTTCAACCGGATCTTGATCTTCTCTTATCTAACTACGTAAATGTTACTAATTGTTTGTTACCACTCTAACAACAAATTTGTCAGTTAATTTTTCGGGAAGATCATCTCCAATAAGATATATATACTGTAATATTTCAGATACCTTATCGTTCTGATTTTTTATTTCACTATGATGTTCCTGTTGATAGACAGCAGTATGACCACGGATTGATGTCATTTAGAGAACCATTGAAAGCCAGGGAGTACTGGACGGCTGTTTCATCTTAGTTTTGGGAATCATCGACAGTACGCCCCCCTCCGACACGGTTCAAACCCAGGACCTTCCGGTTACAAGACAAACTCGCATACCATTCAGCCACTGGGACCTCATATCTAGACTGTTGATATTAGATAGTTGAAGGCAATCGTCAGGAAGCCTCGGACCTAGGTAGCGCTCTAGTTGGCACTCGTCAGCAAGGCGTATCTGCAACGTCTAAGGAACTCATCTCCCCTCTGAGATTCGAACTGGCGTCACCCAGTGCTTCAGTCAGAGACGTTACCACTGAGCTCTTCGGGCTCGCTCCCAGTGGTTGAATGGTATACGAGTTTGCCTTGTAACCGGAAGGTCCTGAGTTCGAACCCCAGTGGGTGTGTACTGCCGATGATTCCCAAACTAAGATGAAACAGTTGTTCAGTACCCCCTGGTTTTCAATGGTTCTCTGACAGACAGAAGTATGTTAAAAGTGTACACTGACTTATTTTATTAAAGATTATGGGTTATAGTCAGCTGATGAGAAAGCCAAAGAAATAGAATGGATCCATGTTATTCTGAACCAAGGTTCGTTCTTTCTCTGTTCAAGTTTATAAAAAAGGAATTCATATTTGGAACCCTTTAACCGTTGTATTCGACTAGATTCTGTAGACAGATATAAGATTTAGAAACTGAAACCGTTATATTTCTTTTGAAGCGGACTCGTTTTTCTCTCTCTTACAGAAGTTTGTTTATTATTACTTCTTATTTGTGGAGTGGACAATAAGTTCTACTTGTCTTTTAGAGGTTTTGATGAATTAAAAATGGCGGAAATGAATAGTTTTATTTCATTCATCGTATTCTCTGTTTTTTTGTTTTGTTTTTACTTTCTTTTGTATTCAGAAATTTTATCCAAAGGAAAAACTTTGTTTTCATTTGAATCATGTCAAGAACGCTTACTTTATCCAGAAGCAATACCACATCATCGTCTTGGTATAACTTTAACACCAATTAGTAATCATGGATTAGCTGGACCAGCAACATACGACCCTCAAGTAACTTTAAGGTTTCGATTTCAGTGGATTTCTTTCTTTCTTTATCTTCCCCACTTTTCGTGATAACTATAGTTTACAGGAATCAATGATTTCAGCAAAAAGCCTATGAGTTTACGTGGATATACTTTAGGCGCTAGAACAGCACCAAGACTGACTTCTCAATTACATGTAAGTAAATGTGAATTACAAGGTTCATATCTTTTGATATTTTGATTAAAAAAAATAATTTTTGAAAAAAGTTTGATCTTTCTTGACAGTTTTGTACAATACAATATATAAATCTTTTAGTTAATAATACAGATTTTCGTCCTGTAGTGATTACTTGTGTAAACTAGTGGCCACGCATATCTCACTGACTGACTGACTGATTGGTTTCAACATGGAACAACGTTGCACTGATGTGCAGCAGTTCGAGTCATCACACTTCACTCAGCCCACAAAGTGAGAGAAGAAAGTAAAAAGGAATGCAAAATAGAGACAGTAAACAAGGATATAAGACAAAAAGAATAGTAGTATTGAAGAACAATAGAATTTTATTGGGTATTATAAGTCACAAGGAGTGGATGCATCTACACCACTGAGAATGAGTTTGAGCCATATCACCAATTGTCTCCAGCCATTGGTGTTAACCGTCCCGAGGACCCCAACCAGGAAGTCTACACCTTCCTACGTGACTGGCTTAAACTAATTGTCATGGATTTCATTGACTGATGAAGCCATATTTTAGTTTGACCACAGCTCTTCTCCAAGATGACCCTGTGTCAACTGACATTACCCATCATTGAGGAAGGCAGTCGATGGCTAGTCATGTGTAACACATGTCCTAATCATCTCAGTCGGTGTAACTTCACACCCTTGTCAATTGATTTCCCCTCTATATCTCGCACTCGCGCCTAACCTCAATATTACTCACCTTATTATACCACTTCAAACAGGAGATAGAACTCAAGCACCTATGATCAAAGACAGATAGCCTTTTCATGTCTTCTACTCTCAGGCCACAAATATATAAATCGTAGTGAAAGAAAGCTGTTATAATAGGCTTAAAACATGTACTGTTGAAGCAGTTAAGTTTTGAAAATATTTGATTAGACAATCCCTGATATTATACGAAATTTGCAGTCACTCAAATTAGTTATTTTGTGGTGAGAGCTGCCTGTTAGCCAAAATTAGTAGAGAGCAATTTACGTCAAAGTTTACGTCCCAAATCTTGGTCATGAAGAAAAGCAAGAACAAAGACTAACTCAACAACCAATTATAGCAGACTTAGCGTGGGAGGATACGATTAGCACATATATCAACAGACTGTCTAAGAAACGGCAACAAAGAGATGACAGTATAACCTTCAGGAGGAAAACAACCATTCAGAAAACGTTACCTCTCTGCTAACAATAATGAATAATAATGTACATAGAAATCTATAAATATCTGTTGATTTTCGCTATAAACAATCTGTTGCCTGGCTTTGTCTTCTGTCGTTACAATTTAACCACTGATATTGACTCATTTTTCAAGTATAGGCAATATATATATTTCTCTAATAAAGTTGTTGCTCTCACCAGCACAGACCAGTCTTTTCTTTTGAATTTTCTGAGATCTTGGGTAGCAGAAGTTACCCTTCAGTCCAGTTGCCGATTACATTTCAGTATCGAACCCAAACCATATTGTTATTATTATCATCATCAACGCAGATATGACAGATTTGTTAAATCCCACGACTAGGATTTAACCAGACAACCACATGACTAAAGTGATCCACCTCTCTGACTAGAAAACTTTCACGATAACACTATTTATCAACAAGTGACCACTTCACAGTCAATAATTCACCTTGAGATAAAATAAATCAATTGATATTTAAAAAGTTGACCGATCATTTCTCTTTATCTCCTTTCAAGACTACTAATGCTCCAGATCCTGGAGCTTATCAAAACCATATCAACAACACATTAGCAGTGAAACCGAATAAAAAGCCATTTAATCGTTGTGCACCAAGATGTAATATATCACCAAATGTCACATCTACTGTCGGGTAAGTGAAGTGCCATTGTCCTTCTGTGTGAGCTAATATACATTTGATGAAACAATACAAAGTATAGATAATAAAATCACCAGTGTGTGGTTGGTCGGAAAGACAGCCATAGACATATGGCCAACAGATAAATTAGTGAAATTAGTCAATGACGTTGTTAATTTATGCACAACTGACACTTAGTTTAATACAATTTTGTACTGTCATATTCTCGAAGTTCTATAGTTGAATTGGAAAGCTTTCATTGCCTTGCAAGACAATATCTTCAGAAATAACTTCAGCATGTATATACAGTAGTATTGGTTCACTGTGAAGAGATTTTTGAAATGCCGGCATTCCAATCTTGAATACACTTGCTTACTACAATGCAAATATTCACTACGGCACAAATGTGTTCATTCCTCCTCCTCCTCCTCCTCACTATCATCGTCATCAAAATTCTTTACCTTTCTACGGATTCCAACTTGAATATTGTTCACATTCTATAAACAGTCGGACTTAAACAACATAAAAGCTGCCAATACTGATGAGTGGGTATCTGGGTTACCACACTTCATATCTGCAAAAAAACATTTCCAAACGAATGACTTTATTCGATTAACCAGTAGGTTAAGCATACTGTTTCTTAGAAAACATCCTAGTTACATGTGTCACAGTTAACGCATGAAGAGGTTGTAGGTGAAATCAATCTTGACGCCACTATCACAATGACAGGGTGAATATAATCATCGTGGCTGGGTTGTATATAATCAAAAGAATTCGTAGATGTTTATGTTAAATCCATCACGTTTGTCATGGCGATACAAAATATCAATCAGCCTTTTCTAGCCTTATTTGCCTTACTATATTTATCGAATTAGTGTGACATACGTAATTTCATTTCAATGGTTTCATTGATAGTTCCATTACTTTTCAAGAATTGGTTTTGTAAGGATTTTGTTTGATTGCATGGAGGATTTCATCATGAGCCTACATCAGTTAGAGAACCACTAGAAAACCTGGGAGTACTGGACAGCTGTTTTGTCAGACTAGTTTGGGACTCTTCAGCAGTACGCGCCCACCGGGATTCGAACCCAGGACCTTCTGGTTACAAGGCGAGCTCGTAGACCATTCATCAGCCACTGGGACCCGATCCAATGGTCCTTGAATTCTAACTTCTGCCAATTCACGACATAGCGCGACCATTTTGCAATGTCTTCTTCGATGAGTTACTGCCTCATTTTCAACCTGCTGTACCCTACTGGTCACGGCTTCCCACTAGAACCCCAGGTTAACTGTCTGAATAAGGCCAGTCACTAGTTACATGAGATTAATTTTCAAGTATTGGTTTTTTTAGGTATTTTGTTTGGTTGGATGAAGGATTTCATCAGACATTTAACCTGGGGTTCTAGTGGGAAGCCGTGACCAGTAGGGTACAGCAGGTTGAAAATGAGGCAGTAACTCATCGAAGAAGACTTTGCGAAATGGTCGCGCTATGTCGTGAATTGGCAGAAGTTAGAATTCAAGGACCATTGGATCGGGTCCCAGTGGCTGATGAATGGTCTACGAGCTCGCCTTGTAACCAGAAGGTCCTGGGTTCGAATCCCAGTGGGTGTGTACTGCTGAAGAGTTCCATTACTGTCTCGAATTAATTACATGCTGTATAAAGTGATTTGGGTGAATTTAGTTTTATGCTAGTGTAACTGGTTTCTGTACTTACTACACAGCATGCACACAGTGTGATGTTATATTGACATATGAGTAAGAGGGTGCAAAGTCTCTCTGTCCTAACCGCCGAGCGATCTGGCTAACGTTTACTAAACAAACAGGTCAGTCAACCTCACCGAGACAACAGAAGCTCGTGATTTAACGATAACTCGGTGTCTCGTATACACTCTTAAATAATTTAGTATTTATCACCTGAGTATCTAGAATGCGGTGTTTGGCAAAAAGAGACATTTTGTAGGGAATTTATTATCAAGCTATAACATCGTATATGATTGTGATTATCAAAGCCATGATCAATAGTGAAATTTATGCATTAGATTTGAACACTACTACTGCTGCTAAATAATAGTAGTAATGTGATTTGCGAACAAATATTTATGAAGATAATCGCAGTTAAACACCAAGCGATAAAACCACGTTATGTATAGTCCATGGAATATACAAATCTTTGATGACAGCTTAAGATTAATATGATTAGACGACAAATAAAACACCACATTAGCAGGTGAGAAGTTGGACAGAATGAAGTTTAACTTTGAAAAATATTTTTTATTCCTCTACGTTTCCAGTGGAACATAGGGATTCAAGCTAGAGGCCTGAAGTTTATGTAGCAGTGGTGTTTAATTTTTACGGGCCTTATGCCCAAACTTCCCTCTTTACCAGTCTAATTACTGAGTTAGTGAGGTAAAGGAATGCGTCGGCTGGGGGTCGATCCCCGGACCAGATTGGTGGTTGACGAGCATTTTACTGCTGTGCCACAGACGCACACTTAAACATTATCACGGTGAAAAATATACATGGAATTAAACTAATAAGGGGGACAGATGAAACTTTTTTCCGATTTGGTTGAGTGCCAGGAGTCAACCCAGTGTTCTGGAATAGAGCTTCTCATGAGCTTTTTGATTTCTTATAAATCCATACTGGAATGTGCTCTTCTATTCGTGTGGAAAGCACTAACCGTCTGTGACCACAGTGTCCTGCTAAACACGAGCGGATGAACCGAGGATTTTGGTACATAGATCTTTACCGTTCATCACCGTTTGTTTTCCTGAAATCACTAATTCCAGCAATTAGTTTTTTTGATGCATTAACACAGTAGAGCAGTGTATTAAGCCTATTCTTTGAACGAGTGATGAAATGAACAGCTGACGGATAAAACCCATCAGTGTACAACTGAATGATCCAGATGTTTACCTCACAGACAATACAGATTCCTTTAAGAATTCAGATTTACTTTGCTGATGAGGATTCGCAATCACAAAATTTATCGTGAAGATTAGGATAACTTATGACTTCTTTCTGATTGACTTCTGAAGTTAAATTCACGAAGGATATCCATCTACGTATTCACAGTGCCTATTTCTGCGATTTTCCACTGCCTTGTTTGTCTTAAAACTGAAATATTTATGCATATCTTACTTATATAGGGTTGGAACATACGATATAACAAGTGAAATAGGTCGACGTGTACAATGGCAAAGAGATACAATGTTACATCCTGTCAATCTGCCTACAATTGAACAAAAGAGTACAATACCCGTTAATACAGATAAAGTTAGTTATCAGTTCTATTTTTTAAAAAATTAAAATTGTTGAGTCTTTCATTGTTTATATGTAATCAGCTAATTGTATTATTATATTTCCTTCTTATGTTCTTATTAAACACTTTGGTATTATTGTAGATAATCTTATAATATAGCGAAAATATTCATCCAGACATTTAGAAAGGAAAAAAATCTGAGCAAAGAATATCCTTTTCGATAATTTACCCTTTCAGCTCCACAAATAGATATATATTTATATACACAGAATACTGTAACGACAGAAGACAAAGGTCAGGCAATAGATCGTTTATTGAGGAAATCAACAGATATTTATAGATTTTTATGTATATTGTCATTCGTTATTTTAGCAGAGAAGCAACTTCTTCTGTTTGGTTTTTCTTGTTGGGGGGTTATTCTTTACTGCTTGTGACCGTTTCTTAGATAGTTAAGGTATATATCTGCGAATCGTATTTGCACACGCTAAGTCTGCTGTGATTGGTTGTTGAGTTCGTCAAGCTTAGGCTTTGTCACTGTTTTATCTCGTGACCCCGATTTGGGTCATAAACACAGACGTAAACTGGTGTTCACAATTTTGGCTTGCAGACAACACCCACCACAGTACTATTCTAGAATAATTATCATTAACAATATTGGTGTTTTTTGTCTAAGTATTATCGATTTCGTAAGATTACAATGGAATTACCACAGTTCAAGAAAGATGCATAAATTAAAATAATAAGCATTAAAATGTAATAGTAAATAGAATATCAAATAAAATTAAGGAAATTTCTACAGCAAATTAAGAATTACTATAACCTTGATGGCCAAAGTAAGGACAGTGTCTGAACCAACTCCTTCTGGATGCATAAGTTAGCTTTCTTAATGTGGATCCCAACAACCTTAGCAGTGTGTAGTAGACGAACTGTTAAGAAGGTAAAGTTAAGATTAGTTGGTATACGTTAGATGACTTTGAAAGCCGCCTCGTTAGCATCAATTTTGTGTTCAGTATCAAAGAGATGAGATGATGTGGAAATGTGCATGAAATTTGTTTGTCCCTTACTTAAACACCATTCATGACGGTGTTCCGAAATCCGATGATAAACACGCCTAATTGTATGGCTTATGTAACTGGCTCACTCCAAAGGAGCAGTCCAATTAGTAGATACACATGGAAGAGGTGAAATTAGATAGCCTGTCTTCAACTCCCAAACGCAAAATAGGGGTGATTTCGAAGACATAGCATACTTCAGCAGCACTGAATGCCCTTTTTACCGCTGTTTTCCTTAGGCATTGTGTTAATATCTCACTGATGTTATCGCTGAGGAACTGAAGTTGCAAGAAGAAGGCCTTTTTCGGAACTGTTAGTACTCTGGTCTGCCTTGACTCTTGATTCGTATTCTGATGGATGAATGTTTGGGTAACGATTCTCACTCAGCAACTATTTAATAATATTAACCTTTTCATTAATACATTCATCAGAGCAGATTGCTCTTGCTCTGTAGTGGACCAAGCACTTTATCAGATTGCGTTTGTATTTCAGGGGGACGAAGCTGAAGAAATGAGTATACTGACAGTCAGTTGATGCAGATTTTCTATATACACTTCTTATTGCTCCATCCTCTTTTCTAGTCCTAAGGACGTCTAGGAATGAAATACAAGATGGAGTCTGTTTCTTTCTCGATAGTAAAATTTATTGCGGGATGCATATTGTTAATTTTGTCAGGGATATTCTTTGCTTCATCCTCGTTTTTCATAATCAGAAATGCATTATCCATTTATCGATAGTAGAATTCTATTTCATCAATTGCATCTTTCAAAGTTCCATTCTCTAGTTTCGCGTCTTTCTTGAACTGTGGTAATTCCATTGTGATGTTAACAAATCGATAGTATTTAAAAACATTAACATTGTTAATGACGATTATTCTGGAATATTCTGCATATCTAAACATATATATATATTTATGATTGAAGGGCCAGAAAAGAAAATTATCGAAAAGAATATTCATTGTTCAGTAATCACCTCCTTATTTATTTTATTCCTTTACGTTCCCTCAGTGGAACATAGGGCTTCAAGCTAGAGGTTTAAAGTTTCAGTAGCAGAGGTGTTTGTTTATTTTTACTGGTTGGGGTTGCTGCTGGCCTCATATGCCCAACTTTTCTTCTTCACCAGTCTAATTACTGGCTTAGCGAGGTAAAGGAGTGCATTTGTGGCCAGCGAACGAATCCCGTTGGCAAGCATTCTACTGCTGTGCCACCGACTCACCAACTAGTCAGTGTTACTATTGACTTCACTTTATATTTTCACCTTTTCTTTACAGCTTTCCACTACTGCAGAGTGTAAACGTTATCAGAGGAAACTGGCATATTTACAACTTTATTTTAAATAGACAATGAATGAATGAATGAATATGTATGAATTGAAGTGTACTGCTAATAAATTATGTTTTTAACAGAAACAGTTTTATTATTATTGTTATCATCATCATCATCAGTTTCTTTCGGTTTGACAGAATGCAGTTTATTAGGTAAAAAACTGTTACATTTTTGGATGTTACCCCCAGTGAATCTGTTTAACCCTAAGTATTGACAGAAATGTGTTGATCAGTTGATCAGTATTTTAGGCATAGTCATTCAGATTAGAATAAGAATGCTGGATAGAAAGGGATCAAGGAGTCTTGTATACTAAGACGAATTATCTTGTGAGACTACTGTGAGTATTCTATGATTTGCAAATAATTTATGCAAGCAACTGAAATTATTGTCATCATTTCTTTGACTAGCTGAATAAAAATAATAATTGTCCATAAAACCTCGCCTAGTTCACTAGCTTGCTAGTTTTCTAGGCAGTCCTAAGTACGGGTAAAGAGGAAGGTTTCGGGGTGCGGCAGGCAACCTTACACTACAAAAGCTATCAAACTGCTATAGAAACACCCAATGCACAAAATTATGTTAAAAATACAAAACCTTCAAATAACAATCTTATGGGATTTTCATCATGAGCTAACATTAGTTAGAGAACCACTGGAAAACCTGGGAGTAGTGGACAGCTGTTTCGTCATAGTTTGGGACTCTTCATCAGTATGCACCCACTGGGACTCGAACCCAAGACCTTCTGGTTAAAGGGCCAGCTCGTATACCATTAAACCACTGGGACCCAATCCAATGGCCCTTGAATTCTAACTTCTTCCAATTCACGACATAGCGCGACCCCTAGCCAATGTCTTCGGCAAGTATTTGTCCTCACACCCGACCTGCTGCACCCTACTGTTCACGACTTCCCACTAGAACCCGTGGTTAACTGCCTGAATAGGGGTTCTAGTGGGAAGTCGTGAACAGTAGGGTGCAGCAGGTCGGATGTGAGGACAAATACTTGCCGAAGACATTGGCTAGGGGTCGCGCTATGTCGTGAATTGGAAGAAGTTAGAATTCAAGGGCCATTGGATTGGGTCCCAGTGGCTTAATGGTATACGAGCTGGCCTTTTAACCAGAAGGTCTTGGGTTCGAGTCCCAGTGGGTGCATACTGATGAAGAGTCCCAAACTATGACGAAACAGCTGTCCACTACTCCCAGGTTTTCCAGTGGTTCTCTAACTAATGTCAGCTCATGATGAAATCCTGTAACCAATCAAATCCCTACAAACCAACACTTGAATAACAATCTTATACTTTGCTAGAATCGGAGAGGCTAGTCAAAACCAGCCTTCAGGAAGCCAGTCAGTCAGCCAGTATGCCTTCTTTCGAAGAAAATAAGGATAATAAATGGAGAGGTGAGATGTTCATTCAATGTACAAGGCTGAGAAGGCTGTACAAGTAGTCGAAGAAAGGAGAAAATATAATATCGAAGTAATCGGAATCTGTGAAAGCAAAAGGAAGAGGTGTGGACTGTTGAAATTGTCAGCTGCAGAGTCAATAATCTACTGCAGTGACCACCTCCACACGACAACCACGAGAACACTGAGGCAGTGAGTGGCTATCATGATATCACCAATAGCAACCAAAGCTCTTATGCAGTGGAAAACCGATCTGCTATTACAGGTTTATGAAAGTGAAGTTTAACCCTAATGGAAAGAAAGTCACATTTACCAAATGCTACGCACCTACAAAAACGCAGAACAAGAGAAGAAGTAAGATTTTATAGACAAGTGCAAACAGTAATGAGAAACATCCTAAATGGTGACATCAAAATCCGTATGGACGATATGAATTCCAGCAGAACTGGGATCAGATAATATTTGGAAGAGAACTCATCATGAGTCGAGAGATCCTCAATGGAGAACTCTTCTCAGACTTCTACGCCTTCAATGGTCTGGTCTTTGGAGGCAGCGTGTACAAGCACGAATATATACACAAGGTAGAATGGATTTCTCCTGATAGACAAACTACAAACCACATAGACTTCGGAGACGATATATGTCTAATGTCACACAAACTCGGAAACTTGCAAGAAGGCGAAAACCAACAAACTAGAAGAAGACTTTAACAATTAAGACAGGAATCCACGTGAACGTAGAGAATACAACGAAAAGACCAGCACAAATCATCAGCAACAGGAGAGATTTGGAAGAAGGTACTTCCTTCACTTATCTGGCCAGGAAGCACGGTTTCAACCACAGGCAGTCGGGACGGATGAAGATGTCAAAACCAGCCAGAATTGGAAAGGCAAGGTATATCTTCATCACTTTGAAATCTGCGTGGAAATCTCCATTTAGCATGAATAACTAAATTCGAATTTTCAACACCAATGTCAAGTCAATCACTTCTTGTGTGTAGGTAAGAAATTTGTCGGGTACGTCACAAACAGAGTTTCAAACAGGCTGAAGGATTTCTTCAACAGATGCCTTCACTTCATGCCTGCAGAAGGAATCAGTAACGAAAAACTCTGTCTAGGAACAAACCAACCAAGAGCCGATTGCTTAACAAATATGTAGGAGAAAATGGAGATGTATTTATCGGGTGTACGTTGAGGAGGTCTTCGAATGACATTGCGCGTCAGACCATTCCTCAAGTAGAATGCCAATGGGAAGCGATAAGTGGGTCGTCAGTGTTAGGGTGACATGGAGGAGATCATGTGAGTTGGAGGATGAGATGAGAAATTATGGTCAATGGTGTGGTCAGCCAGCTGAAGAGGACTGCAGAAAACAGAACAAAGGGGAGATGTGTTGTTGAAGCCAGCCCGATGTTCCACTCGGAACGCAAGGAAATAGTAATAATACAAGCAAATTTTCACACAGATGTAGTAGATGGAGGCTTTATGAACAAATAGCAAGATTACGTAATAACACGTTGTAAGTGATGTAGGTTAACGAAGTAGCAATGAGGTTGTAAAGAGATTGAGTAGTGCTTGACAACATAATAAAATGGGGAATCTAATTAGCTATTCAGGACTATCCGTTGCAAGAAAGAGATATAAATGACTGTAGAAACTTTTCCCGTCGAGCTCACCAATTTTAAAGTACTAGTAATGCTGTTGATAAGCTACACTTTACCAGTCCTAAGTTAACGCGATTTACCGATGTACCGATTATTTCAGTACTCTGCCTAACCTGTAAGTTCAGAGAAAAGTCTCTTTGTGGCGAATTCATTTTCACAGCTGTACAATCGCAAATGTATATGCTTATTTGTATATGTGTGGGTGTACATTAAGTTTGCGATAATACAATTAGTAAGTTTTAGGGGAAATTGCGCAATACAAAAAAGCGTTCAGAGGAATTGGAAGTTGATATAAGAGGTTAGTAACGAAAGTGATGAGTTGTCACAAACGATGTTAAAGAAGAGTTAAGTAATAACATGAATAGTTTAATGAACGAGTTGTGCTCAAGGTGAACTTGGAAAGAAAAAAATAAAGTACAGAATTACGTGAGAGTTCTAAATAGTTAGAAAAAAGAAGCAAACAGGCAAACATTAAGTCACATAAACAGGGTTGTTACCATCATAGTAGAAGTGGCTGAATAATTTTCTTTTGTATGGATAATTCTGGTTCTTCCAACTGAATGGTTAGGACTTCTGCAATGCAAAGAAGACGGAAACGTATTGCCTTTGGCAGGTTTTTCTTCACTTTGTAGACCACTTTGTAGGAGGAGACGTTTGTTGAGACGGAATGACCAGTGGTGACGAGATGTTCGATTATTGCACTCAATAAACGGCCACTACTTTCTTTCTGCAGACACGCTAGATAGTATTTTTTGACACTTGATGACAGGATACGCGTAGAACCACTGGTGTCACTTCCTGCACAGCAACAAGTGAACTGATATGTACACATAGAAGTGGTCAGGTGCGACATCTTGTTTTTTGGGTTTCTACAGAGCGGCCGACGACTGGAGAACACTACTCTGTGTTACCACGAAGAGAGTTCTTCATGAAGAAGTGGAAATTATCCTCTTAACGACATCACTGAGTGGGTCACATTCAAAGTCGAGGTTCATATAAAGTATCTTTTTTAGCACGGATGACGTCTCTTGCTTTCACATTTTCTGTTTGATGTTTTTGTCTATGGATCTTGGTGGATATCCGCTTTGTATGAAGATTTCCCTCAGGAAGTGTAGTTCTTCTTGCTCCAGGTTATCAGAGCTACAGATGTGTTAGATGCTAGTAGCAAGAGATCTAATTAGGTCTTTCGACTGACTGATTGGTAGCCAGTTGTAGAAGCTTGTCAACTGGCAGTTCCATGTGAGTTTCCTATGGATGGCCCTTCTTAACGTCCCGTCATATCTTCTAGTAAGTTCAACATGAAGAAAAACGAATTTTAGAACCGTTTTCTATTTCGAGAGTAAACTTTGTAGCTGAATGGCAGTTGTTGAATATTTGTAGTAATTGATTAAGATCGTAGACATCATCATAAATAATAAAGATATCGTCCACATATCTAACATACAATTGGAAATGATCAACAATTGATTTGAGTGGGCCATTCTCTAGCAGTCTGCTAGCAATGGACCCAGTGGAGATCCCATTGCAATCCAATCGTGTTGTCCGTACATAACATCGTTGAATGGGAATTGTACATCAAATGTGCTTCTCAGCAGTAGTTGTTTGAAACAAGCTGTCTGTAATCTGATGTCCAGCTGGTTTTCGTCTATATATTGACAGATGTTACAAGTAGTCTCTTTGAGTGGAACGTTGATAAATACTGATCGACTTCTTCCTCAAATACATGTAACTTTCGCTTTCGAATGAAAATATGGTCGTGGTGTCTCTCGCTTCGTCTTCTCACTGGTTTCTGCTATCTGTTTGCTCCGCTTATCCTCGTGTTGTTTTCTTCAAAACTCAAAGAAACATTTCGTCTTCGTTCAAAGGCTCTTCGCCAACCGGTGGACAACTTCTGCTATTGGACAAATTCTAGCTGTGGGCCGTATCTTTTAATTTGTACTAGTGGACTCTGGCTGTATTTTCAGGTAACCGTTGTCTTTTACAACTCATTTATTGCCACATCT